TTATTTATTTAAATATTTATTGCTCAATAAATATTTGTAGCAGAGGAAAACTAGTGACATATAATTTTCTGGAATCAAGGAAGCAAATGTTTCAAGGAAAAGGAAATATTTATTAAGGATGTATTCTTTTACTTAAAGTACATTTATTTGAGCTGTAATGAGGCCATGTTTGCATTTCAGCCTCAAGAGTGTTGATACAAAGTAAGATCAACTAATCCCCATCACTTCTTGTCCCACCACTGTAAGTCATGGAAGTGAAGAAAATGGAGAGTGGATGGTTGAGCTAAAGTGGTTAAAGGAACTAGCAGGGATTGCATTCTTGCTATGAGCAAGCACTGTGCTACAGTCATCCAACAAACACTTGCAACATGCTTGCCATACGCCAGCACTATCTCACAAACCAGAGTTACAAAATGACTCAATCTACTTGGTAATAAAACATCAGAACACAATTTCTCTCCATGGATCAAGCCCTCTGAGCTGAACTACCCAGAATCTCAAATTACCAGAATTTTTGTTGTATAATAATTTCCACTTCCAAAACACACACACATAATAATCACCACGCATGTGGGACTTGCTTTCCTTCCTAAAATTGAACTCCCTCACTGCTTCAGTTCACAGACAGTCCCTTCAAATACAGATCTCCCCTTAGTTATGTCCTGGCAAACTTGGACACTGCAAACACCATAAAACCACATGTGTCTAACACACCTAACTACTGAACATAATAGCTTGCAGCACACCCTGTAGAGTGTCAACAGTCCCATCTCATTATCACTGGCGGACTAGAAGCTGTGACTTCTTGCTGCTGCCCGGCATCCCAACAGAGCTCCACACAGCATATGATAGCATGGGAAAAGATCAAAATCAAAATTTGAAATACAATCTTTACTGAATGTATATCCTATCTGTTTTCTTGTTACTTTTCCAATTTCTTTACCATTTAACATTTTTTTTAACAAACATTTACTGGGTACTGAAATTTACTTTGTTTTGCTTTGGTTTTTTGAGGTAGGGTCTTGTATGGTAGCCCAGGCTGGCCTCAAATTCACAATCCTCCTATATCAGCCTCTCTATTGCTGGGATTATAGGCATGAAAAACAGTGCTTGGCTTAGGTACAGAATTTTTTATTTGTAAAATGCAACATACTTTAATAAGAACAAGTAGGTTGTTTTGGGTCCTCACAACTGCTTGGGAAACCAATAGATTTGTGGAAGTTTGGATAGTGGGCCTGGGATCAGAATAGTTATTTATACAACTCAGATTTTGTTAGTGAAACCAGGTCCTGATTCACTGATAAATCATGTCTACAGATGTATATACTTATCAAATATACCAGTCCTTCACTGTTCATTTCTGGATGCTTTATTTCTTAGCAATCCCTCTTTTGAGCTACACATGCTTTACTTCTATGTAATAGTACCACAACTTCTCAGTTAAGGAGCCATTATGCCATTTCTCTTTGTGTGACCTTCACCATGGGACTTAACCTCTCCATGCCTTATCTGCAAATGGGGCTTGAGCCATCATTTAAGGTAACTTCACCTGTTTATGCTAAAGTTAAAAATTTTAACAGTAGTTGTAAAAATGGCTAAGGCACTTTACACCCTTAATATATGCTGGACATTGTGATCAATGTATATATACTGATACACAATGCAGCAGGCTAGCCTGTCTTTTTCTTTTTGGCTATACTGGGAATTGAACTCAGGGCCTTGTACTTGCTAAACAAGTACTGTACCATTTGAACCATGTCCTTAATCCTTTTGCTTTTAGTTTATCAGACTTGTCTGGGCTGGCTTTGGATACAATCCTTTTTCTTGGCCTCAAATTACAAGTGTGTGTGTCACCACACTTTGATTGTCCCTATTTTATAGTCACAATATAAACAACCTAGCATGTGACACATGGCTGTGAAGTCCAGGTTCTGTCACTAAATTTCTTCACTATACATTCTTTAAAAAAATAAAATTCATGTTTTCTTTAATGAATTCTTATTTAATTTTTAAAATTGGGTCATGATGTAAGAGAAGCAAATTTTCTTGCAAGTGAGCAAACTGTCCAAAAAAAAATTCCAAAACTTCAGAATCTGGATCTGTACAGGAAAAAAACAGCCTGGCTAGACTTGTGAAAGGAAATGTAACAACGTACTGGATAAATGTTGGGATTATGCAAGCAAAGGAAAAAATATTTTGTGGGTTTGCTTTGGCAAATTGTTTCTTAATATTCCTGCACATGAGATGACTTCTTTCCAAGTTTCTAGTCCTTCTACTTTAGCTTCTGTCCTTGACAAGCTGGTCATCAACTCTGCTTACCATTCCTTTTCTCCCCAGTACACTTTAAGGATTAAGCACTTGAGGAAATGCAGAAGTAAAAGAAATAAATTCACAAAGGAAGTCAGGTAAAACATGGGGCTTTCCTATGAGTGGACTCTCTCAATTGAGTTGGATTTGATGTTTATTGCTGGCAATAAAGGTGGTGAGTTTTTTTGTGATGCTGTGGAACCAGGAAAGGAAGGAGAGCTTTGCACAGCAGCAGGCTTGTGCTCCATTGTTTATGTTCGGCATTTTAATAACTTCAGTATTTGCACAGCTGAAGGAAAAGAAAGCACACTGAAAATATATACCCTGAGGACCTCTAGAAGTTGGAAAACTAGAAAAACGTGAGTTTTTAAAGAGCCACAAGTTTTATAAGTAAAAAGCACCTCAGCCAAAATGAATCTGGTGCTGAGATGCTAAATTCCAAAGGAAATCAATTTGTTATAATTATTCTGACAATTCTCAACTCTATTTTGTCATAATCAATACTAATACAAAGATATTCAGAGATTAGAAAAATCTCTGAATTTCAATATAGTGAAAATACAAAAGCTTTTGGACAATCAAACAGGACCAATTTGTAATTCCATCTCTGTAATTTACAAGCATAATGCTTGGGGGATTTTACTTAACCTCTTGGAACCTCAGTTTCCTCGTCTGTAAAGCACAACTAATCATGCCTGGCACCTCAGTGGTGGTTGTAATTGTTTCTTGCACCACTCTAGTTGCCCTTGGACCTTCACTACAATGAGACAGCTGCAGACTTATCTCTCCTGTACTGTCGCACATTGGGGCAGTTACCACATTACTACTTATTGGTATTCTTCCCTTGCTTTGGACAGGTGAGGAAGTCAGTTGTAGGCTGGACCCTTCTTAGTTAAGGAAAAAAAAAGACTGTGTATACTGGATTTATTCTGGCAGATGTGAATACCAGAACTTTAGATGGGGACTGGAGGTGTGGCTCAGGTGGTAGAGTGCCCACCTAGCAAGCACAAGGCCAAGTTCAAACTCCAGTACCACCAAAAAAAAAAAAACAAAACCCAAAATCATAAAACCAGAACTTTAAAGGAGTTCAACTAAAGTACATCACATCCAAGTATAGAAATATTATAATGAGATCCCTTTGCACAATTAATACACACTAATAAAAATTATCATGGGGGGATAAAGAAGAAAGAATAGGGCACTTTTCATAAACCAAAGCCCATGTTTCCATAGACAGCCTGACTAGAAGTTAGTTGTTTTTACCACATTTGTTATCCTTTTAAACAGGACTTTCCTTCTAGAGTTAGCACAATAACCAATTGTCCATTCATCTCTCAACACTGGTCTGGCAGCTGCCCTGTTTTAGTTATGTGTGCATCAATCCAGCACTGAGCCTCAATAACGGTAAAGTGCTGTCTACCCATCTAATAAACAGTCGGTTCCCACATCCTGCTCCCTCCCAATGCTGCCGTAATCTCTAACAGCCCACAGTCACCTAATATAGACTGTAAATGGAACAGAGAAAAACACAGAATTTAAAAATAAGTATACAGAAGATGATCAATGCAGACCTTGTTTACCAGTTGGCTAAAATGTTCATGCTTACCATGGGTGAATAAGGTTGCCTTTCATGGGCTTCCTGGTGAGGATTTTTGTTAGGCAGTAAGAGTCACCTTATTTAATCTTTTTTTCTCTTTTAGCAAATGGTGAAGTTGGAAAAGCAAATGTGGTCCACCTCAACAGTTTGGCTACAAGAATGTCGAAAATCTGTGCCATCTCACTAGACTCCAATACCAAAAAATTCTACCATTAGCATCCTAGAATTTTAAGAAAAAATGTTCTTCTTTTGTCTTTAGCATCAGTTAGTTTGAAATACCTAGAGCTTGAGGGAAAGATAAAGTACTACTCTGCTTAAATTACAGTTAGGAAGAAGCTCCAAGACAGGAGTGATTAGTAAGACAAAGGTAGGAACAAAGTAGGGGTAGAGATGGCCCTTTCTAGTTTGTAGTGTCTATGTTTGGGAGAGGGATTCAAATGAATGGGAGGGTGGGGGCTAAGGACAAAAGGAACTCAACTGTAGTGACATATTAGGGAGTGTATGGGGGGTAATTTTATCTAGTACCAGATTTCTATGTAGATAAAATACAAACATATTAACTCTGACTTGATTTAAAATTAAAAGGTACTAGCTTTCAGAATGAATCTTCTGAAGATGCTTTAAAATAGCCATTAATGTCTGCTTGAAGTTCAGCATTTGTGACATGACATGCATTAATATCATATACTGTTTTATACTACAATATCAGTAATTTGTTCTTCTGTTTCAGAACAAATAATTCAGAAACCAGAAAGCTAGTAAAAACAGTGCTAATCAGAGAAGATAATTTTTAAATATAACACATTAGAAAAATAAATGATTAAGCTATTACATCTTATAAAACTCTTAATCTTTAAAAATATATATTTGCATTTTAGAAAAAAATGAACATAACAATATCTGCTATCATTTCAACATCTACAACTGTATGCAACACATAGAGTTGGAACAAGATGACCAAATAGGAAAACTCGGGCTCTCTTAATCTATTTCAAGTTTTTTCTAAATAATGGCAGTTGACTGATATCATGTTCTAAATCCTTTCATATTACAGGAATAACAAAAATAATAAAAGGAAAAATAAGCACTTATTAAACTTTTACTTTTTAGTATAAGGAATTTCTAAAATTGTTACATGTAAAATGTCCAAGACTCTATGTAGGAAATACTGTAATCTCTCTTTTACAGATAAGAAAACTAGGAGTTTAAAAGACTTGACTAATAGCACACTATAATAAATGCTAAAGTCAGGAATAAAGGACAACTGAAGGATCTTGAGAGGGAATTTAAGTTTATTGGCTTTGATTAAATGGTTTCTTATTGGTACCTGATGTATGATTTTAATGCAAATGTTTGCTTAGAAGAAATTTCAATAGGTTACAACCTTAAACTTTAAACACATGATTTGGCACTGAAATGCATAACCTATTTCTCATACAATACAACTTTTCCCATAAAGGCCACCATGTTTTTGTATTCATTTATTGCAATTCCATTTCCTCCTGAGTGTTTGGAATAACAAGAAGATAATTACAAACTCATGCCAAACCTTTAATACATTCTTCAATTCATTTCCAACTTCCTCACTATTCATTCATTCACTGGACATTGAGTGCTAATATGCCAGATACAGTCATAGGTGTTAAAGACATAAAGCCCAAGTTTTTCTGGAGTTCATACTTTAGTGAGGGAAAGATAGATCAGATAAATCAATGATTAGATAGAATGATAAAATAATGCTGACATATTCTTGTGGAAAAAAACTGAGAGTTGTTACTCAGAAACCATTGCCTCTTTTTTCAGTAAATTATTTCTGAATTTTAATTGACTACATGGCTACCCAGAATACAAACTACATTTCCTAGCCTCTCTTGGGTTATGTGTGGCTATATGACTAAAGTTTGCCCAATGGGGTATAAACAGAAGAGGTATGGACAACAACAAAAAGACATGCTTTGAAGGGGAGGAAGTGTGCTTTTCTCACTTTTTCTTTTTTCTGATGGCTGAAATATAAGCCTGCTGATTGGAGCTGAAGAAAACAATTAGGGGTCTGCATTTTAGGGATAATAGAGCAAAAAGTTAGATGGTAAATGAATTCTTGACAATTAGGTCAAGATTAGGCCTAAGATTAATTTCCTGTAGAAAAAGCTTACATGTGAAAGAAAAACAAAAAACAACTTCTATCTTTTTTGTTTGTTTCCATTTGAGAGTTTTCTGTTATTTCCATGTTCTTTTAATCTTGACTAGTAAGAAAACATAAAGAAAAATGAGTAAGAGATTAGGGAGTTATGCAGTATAATGTCACAGGCAAGAAGAATGGGGACGGTTTCATAAGGACTTAGTACTTGAACAGAGTTGCAAGTGTGTGATGTAGTGAGCCATGTGAGTAAGGAAGCATGTTCCAGGAAGTGGGAAAACAGTAAAATGTTCAAAGACTAGCAAGGAGGCCAACACAGTCAAGCTTTCAAATCTCCTATCCTATCATCTCCTAAACAGACATCCTTGAATTGAGGCCTTGAAAAGACTAGCCAACTTTTTAGGAATTGGTCTCAATGGTTGCCTCTACAAAAAGAGTGACTTAGTTAAGAGTCTAAGCATTTACTCTGCTTCATAGCTCAACCCATAATTGTCCATTTCAAAATGCTTTCCCACGTCATCATTCAACTATTACTCTTTTTTATAAGCCTAGCCTAAGTTCTCACCTTTGGTTAAGGGCTGGCTGTATTGATCTGCTTACCATTGCTTTTTTTCTTCTTGAGTCTCCACAGATGTTATTGTCTATACTGTTCCTTTTAACTATGAATAATGTATCATTTTGTTATTTATGTATATGTCACTTGTCACCTAAATTAAAATGTAGTATAAGACCTACATCTTAAAAAGTTTTTAAAATCTTTTTTGGTTGTGATCTCCTCAAACAGAAGATGTTCAGTAAAAACTTTTTGTATGTCTAATTAATGACTATTTCATTCAACCATCTCACAAACTAGAAACACAATGGAGAGAACCTAATCTTTCCCCGTTCCTCTCTTTTGCCAGGAAGATATGAGTGACTAAAGTATTTGGTGCTATATATAGTCAGTTGATGTCAGCTGGATGCCAGTCTCTTCAGAAAGCCTCAGTCCCCAGTTTGAGCCAGAGCTAGGGACCATGCCGTCCCAGGTTCAAGGATAAAACCCATCGGGCCCAAGTGCCATCCATAGTCCATCTCCAGAGTCTTCCTCCACAATTGGGATTCATCCCTGCTGAAAAGCACAGTCTAACAGCAAGGTGAGTATATATCGTTTCCTAAAATGTTTTATTAGTCAGTTGTCTAAGGAGGTTCAGAGTTGTGACTCATAAATGAACATTCTTTGCTGTAAAGGACAGCTGTTCATGCCAATTTTAAAAAGTCACTATCAAAGAGTTCTAGTTGAACTTGGAATCTTCTTCATTCTTATAGTTTGCTGGAACTCATGTGCTGTGGTGTTGGTACAAATAAAGGCCAGGAAGGAAACAATGATAGATTAAAAAAAAACTATGGAAAGGAGAGAGGGAAGAGAAAGGAAGCCAGCTCTTTCTCTGTTTCTTACTGCCTGGTGGTCTTTGTACTAAAGTGCAGATAAAACTAGGTATGAAACTCTGAGTGTCATCTTCTGTTCACTGGGACATGGCCTGTTGATGAATAACATGACTTCTCCCCAGACAAGCAATGCATATTAACGATTTTCAGTGGAATGCAATAATAAGTTATTAATAGAGAATAAAGATGTCCTCTTTCAAAAAGGATGATTATAAAACACCAAATGTTATTGCCTCAATAACATCCCTTTATTTTTAACAGGGAACAAAAAAACCATGCTATCACATAGTACCATGGTGAAGCAGAGGAAACAACAAGCATCAGCCATCATGAAGGAAATCCATGGAAATGGTATCAATAAAAATCCTCATAGTATTGATGTAGCTTAGTATTAATATAGATCCTTCCTGATGTTAATATTCTATAGTCCAGTTCTTTTAAATACTTGCTATTGTGTCAACAAACCTGGAGCTCTATGGGGTGTAGAAAAGCCTATGGTAACTAATCCTTTTGTAGTCATCCTTTCTCATTTGAAAGCTATTTTCAGATGAACAACTGCTGTAAAAGGAATGAAGCAATCTGACAGCTGATGTACATTCTGTTTGGCTTGCCTTTCACATTATCAGTGAATATCATTCTTAATTTTTTTTGTTTTTGGACAAGTCTCATAAATCTTGTCTTTGTTGCCCATCCCACAGGGTCTATCTTGATTTCTTTTACCTTATATTACATTAAAAATTCAAAATATGATTAAATTGAAATTCATATTCATTACTTATTTAAGTTGAAACCACTATTTATATTTAATGATTGATTTACTAATATATGTTGCATGCAAAATCTACTTTTATTTGTATTTTCTGGAAAAAATTAGAAAGTTCTTGCAGTTTCGAAAGTTTTAGTATATATTAGATGCAAGGTATTATTACACTGTCATTTTAAAATTCTAGCAAATAACTGTAGAAAGCAGTGCTTTATACCTTCACTTTGATTATTTTAAAGGAAATTCAATTTTGTTCATGTGCAAAGGCTGACATAATTTTAAAAGATATGTGGAATATCCAGATCCTTTTAAGGGTTGGTTTGACCCATTCCACACATATTTGTGGAATTTTCAGACTTCCTCCTTATTTCCCCTCTATTGACAAGGAATGCAACCCACACTATGCAGTCATATCTAAAAGGTTTTGTTGTTGTGTTTTCTGTTTTCTGCAATATAAAATCATTGTGCTGGATTCACCTTGGTTCTCATATTTTATCATGATATCCAATTAGTTTAGAATAAAATGAGAATAATTCTAAGCTAAATACCAGAACTGGAATGTATACAAATCCAAAGTTCTAAACTCCATGTTTCTTTTAAATTTACATGGATCTTTTTGTATTTCCTATTTCAGGTAATTTACTTGAAAGTGTCTGTATAGTTTTCCTGATCAAAAGGCAAAAAATCAGATAATCTCTTGAGTTGGAGACTAAATTATTTATCTTAAAACTAGACTTTGGATAAATTACTTTCTAAATGCATCATAATCATAAATAAATCAACCCACTGAATTATTCAGTCTAAGTCATATGTTGGATTCTACTGTGTATGTTCTGCCACAGATATATAAGGGTAAAAAGTCTTTAATTTTTATAGACATAATTATTGAAATTTTTGTGGAATTTTAATTTTTATTAAATGTAAAGGAAAAAATACAATTACATCCCAAGGGGAAAAACTCTTAAAATTACAACCTTACCAGCAGGAAATCCTGACCATGTAAAGTTCTGCAAAGCCTTTCTCCCACCACTGGATGAGCTCCAGTCCACTTAAGAGAAGTCACATGCTATGCCTTTGTGATGTCGAATATTCCAGATAATGCAGGGATGATCAGACTCATCCCAGATAAATAGTCACAGTACTTTATGAGCCAGTTCAAGTATTTTTCCTCTCCTATCTTACATCTTACTATTTGTACGCTACATGGTGTTTTAAGATCTGGAGTTGGGGAATGTCATTTTTTCAAAGGATACAAATATGAGACATGGACTTCAGACAAATATTTTTGGGGGAATAAGTCTCTAAACCTTCAAACATATTACAGCAGTAAAAATCTGGATAATTTAAAATACACAAGTGTTTTGGTCTTAATTTTAAGACTAAATAATTCAGATTTGAACTAGATCATTCCCTTATAAAAATGAACGGAGAAGGATGTTTTCAAGTCCCATTTCTGTTCCCCCATCTCCCTTTGTATATAAGGGTATTTTTTCAGTGTTATAACTCTTTTTAAAACCACACTCCAAAAAGATATAGCATGCAGGAGAATGAAATGTGACATTGAGTCAGCTCTACTGTTTGTTCTCTAAACATGAGGCGAAAATTCAGTGCAGTTCTTATACAGGAGAGAAACTCCAGTTTGAGTCTTTGAGATGAATTAGTAAGGTAATATAAGAGCTGAATGGGAGAGTTTTACATCAGATCACTCATTCCAGCAGGAGAAACAACCTCAAAAAAATCACTAAAAAAAATCCCATCTGGTGACAATTAGATAGAAGGAGTTTCAAAAATATGGATAATTTCCAGCTCCTACTAACTATACCCTAAATCATAACTCAGTATGGCGCATTACAATTTGGTGTCAAATTATGTGGCAGAAGCATATATACTCAACAAATAGCTGATAAAATATATCTCTTATCACCAAGATTATCTACTCTGCACTGACCTTCTCATCACTATATTGTAGCCGTGATCATCATTATCATCATCTTACTAACAGCAGTAGAACTGATGGCAAAGCTGTCTTGTGTTACTATTGTAATACAAACCTCTGTGCTTTACACAAAGCATCTCAGCCACATTACTAGCATCTAACAAGCACTATTTTAAAAGATAGATTAAAAACACAGAAAGCATTTTTTCATTGTCTGTGCTTAAATTAGTTGTGGGAACAAGAAAAGATGCCCGATGGCAGTTCTCTACCCATGAGCTCTATGCAGTTTACCCTGAATCTGAACATGTTTTCCAGATCTAATGTTATTCCTCTCTCACTAACACATTACAAACTTGAAAACTGAAGGAAAAGGAATAGGGAAGAGAAAAGGACAGGGAGTAATAAATTGATTAAGACAGAGATAGGACAATCAGAAATGAGTAAGGAGAAGCACTATAGAGCAACTCACATCTGAATAAAAATGGTGAGAAATGAATTGGAATGAAAATAACCGTAAGATGAACTGGGAGTATTTTTTTCCTTGAAGTAAAGTGCAGATATTGCTGATAGTTCAGGATAAGAGCCTCATGAACAGGGAAGACCATAGACTACAGTTCCTCATAAGGCTGCTTCTTGATTTTTTTTTTTTTTAAAACCTGGTAGAGCTTTTTTTGTTGTTCTATGTTTTTGTTTTTCACCTCATGACTGGTGAAAAGCTTTCCTGGGCACAAAGAACAGAACTGGGCAGATTATTTTTGTAATTTCAGGAAGAGAGTTTAGCTTTGTGGTCTGAAAACAGGAAGTCTAGGTTCTAAATGGAGTGGTGGTGTTGATATGGTATCAGGAGTCCTGAGTTCCAGAGTAGGCCTCAGATTTCTTATTAAAAAAAAACACAAGGAAGGAAGGCTGGATTTACTGACACATGAGGTTCTAAAATTCCATGATTCTAATTTACTATGCTATACACTGAAGTAAAACTAAAAGTTTGAGTTTCTCTATCAGTAACAAGAGAAATGATAATATCAACATGAATCACAAGAACCCTTTGTAAAAGTACAGAGTATAAGCCTAGAATTTTAGGTGAAAGATTATGTGAAGACTTCTTTTAATTTTTCTGTTAAGGAAATCTTCAACAGCAAAAGGACACCAAGTAGGCCTTTTATACCTCATATGAAATATAAGAAATTGGGATAAAAGAATAACTGAAGTAAAAGAACAGCTCAGTGTACAAGTTTATGAGTTTTCTTTTGTTTGGCTTAACTTTTCACACTGGCATTGTCATAATCCCAAGAAACTCAGAGCCAGGACAGCTTGCATGTTTTATTTTAAAAAATAGTATGCAGGCACATCTTATGGTTCATGGGTATCCTGAGCATTTAAACTTAACAAGGCCCTTCCAAAAACTAGTACAGAGAACTAAGCTGAGCCATATGCTACACAAAAATGGAAATTTCAGAGCTTAATTCTAGTCATACTTTTCCCATCATCCCAGTTTCTATGATACCTTTTTCACTCTAATATGCTCTACATACATGTTCTATAAGCCACACTAGATAATTCTATTTGTTCAATTTAATATTTGTAATTCAATAAATTGGTAATCTCATTTCATAAGTGTTATACATTTACACTTTTAAATTATAATATTTTCATTAATGGAGAAGTATGTTTTTAACTTCAATGTCTTTTTTGTTTTTTGCTGGATTCTATTTTTTTAAATTATTTTACTTTATTGTTGTGCTGGGTAGGGGTACATTATGGTATTTACACAGGTTCTTTCAATTTATCAAATATATCACTTAGAACCCAAATTAAGGCAAAAAAATATGTAAAATAAGAAAACAAAGAATCCCAGATGAGTTTCAAATCTTTTATCTAGAAAAATTATCAATAAACTCTTTAGTTAGAATCTTTTCAGGCATTATTCAAAAATCACAGTCTGAACTAAAACATTTGTGTTATATGTAATCTATAAGTTTTATACAGACAGTATTATATAATAACATGTATTTTATGGACTGTTTTTCTATCCACATAGGCCAACTGTCTTAGACTGGCAGAAGACTCCCATGCAAGTGCAGATAGAATTTCTTTGCCTCAGTATGACTCCAAATAAATCAGTAGGGCCATCCTACAGCAAATATGCTTCAGCTAGCTTCCCTCCAGTGGTTTTATCCACTCTATCAGAATTATAACTGCTAATCAATCATGGGGAAACAGTTTTGAAAGCACTCTTGTCTTACTACAATTATTTGTAAGTGTGTTGGATTCCTGATCTAATTACAGTTCTGGATCACTATAAATGACACCAGTAGGAAAGTATGCTTAGCAATATTATTTTCAATAGATGATCTAATGCCACAAAGACAACCTTCTAATCCATGAGAGCAAAGATATTATGTATCCTGAATAAGACATATCATTTATCAAGCATCAAGATTAAATGCACTATAAGACCCTGTGCAGGGGTTTGCAAAAAAGGGCAGGGGACAGCTGAACCTAGAATCTATGTACTCAGTCAACAGCATTCTTCACTGAAAGTTTAAATAATGAGAGATATCATACATTAGATTCCCAACTCACAAATGGTCCTGAAATTCCTGCTTTGGTGACATCATAAATTTAAAAGAGAAGGGAAGGAAACCTTGGATAATTTAGTTACATCTTTTGTTGTTTGTTTATGTTGACTTAACTGGTTCTCTGTGGAGAAAAATGCCTTGATTTGTACAGTTTGCCAATTTCTGTGGTATAAATTCTTCTACTGTGACCAATGTCATGCTACTGTTATGGAGGAATTAAATGCAGAACTAGGGAAAGATTTGCAGTAGTACAACATTATATATGTACTACTAGAGTCACAGTTAGTGAATACTATAGTGTTTTTACCATACAGCTACAATAGATATAAGTAACCTCAAGAGCATAATAATAGCAAAAAAAGTAACAAAAGGATTAAAAGGTGATACTTTTAAGGTAATTATTTCTTTGTTTTATGTAACTTATTTAATTATCATAATTATATAATAGAAATATAATTTAATTTTAATAATAGTGTGTTCACTGTGTAACTGTTGGCTTATAGAATTCTTGAAAATTTATCAGTCAACTCCTGTGAACCAGTACAAGTTCCAGCACAACACTGGATTTATCATCTAATGCTTCTAACCTGAGACACCCAAAATTCTTTCAGGCAGGCACTGGAAGTCAGTAAATAAGGAGAAAATACAGGATTAATGGAGCTGAGTGATGAATAAGAAGTTGAGAGGTGGCCAGTTATTTTGATTTCCTTCTCCTTTTCCTTTTTGTCTCTTGTTTCTCCTCTCTGGTGACCTAAGTTTATTAATAACAGTAGATTTTATCAGGTGATTATTTCTTTATATGCTGTGCTCCCCATGGATAGGTAAGCTCCCCATGGCACCTATTGCGATTATTCCTTGTGGCAGGCAGCCTGAGTGGCATTTCTTGTGAACCCAAAAGAGCCTGTAGCCAAGGGTAAAAATATTTTTAAAAATACTCTCTTCTTGCTTTCTCCCTTTTTTTTCTTGAGGACTTTGCTGCTGGGCTTCTAAGCCAGTCTTCTCACACTTTCCTATGACTCCAATTTTAATATACATTTTAAAACTACATAGATGAGACGATCTTGACAGAATAACTATATCAGCATGCTTTTAGTTGAACATAACAGAAAATCAGAAGCCAAACTAGCTTAAACTATAAAGGAAATTTCTGATTTGCACAACTGAAAAGTTCACAGGTGATCTGTAAGGCCTGAACCAAATACTTAAGCATGCACAGGACATGTTCTCTACCCTAATTTCCTTGGGGTAAGCATTATCTCAAGGCTGGCTCTATCATTTTACCAAGAACTTGCCAGCAGTGTTTCAGGCAATAGTCTCCTTGTTTGAATAAGGAAGCAGCAAAGAGCCTGCAGGAAAACAACCAGTGGAAAAGAGAGTATCTTTGGCACATGTATAGAGAAACATGCTTCTATTCAATTCATTAGCCTAGATAAGGTCACATACCTGTTTCTGAACCAACCACAAAAGTAATTGATTATTGTAAAACACATCAGGGGCCAGAGTGATACAACATGGTCATTTTACAGATGTTGGTGGGTTGGTGGAGTCACTATGACCAAGGACTGTTAGGAAGGAGGGAGTGAGATAAAAACCTTTTCTCAAGTTTTTCTATTGGGGCCACCAAATTAAACTTAATCCGTAACATGAAATTTAGAACTTACACAAATTGATGTAGTAGATTATTTCTACTTTCTGGTCCTATTTTTATTTAATTACTTTAATGACTGAAATTACTGCAATTGATAGCAGAAAGAATGGGGAGTGGAGAAGTTGCTTTCCTCTTTTGGTTTCCTTATTGAAACACTTTGTAGCCTGTATTGTAAGGAGAAAGATTCCATTTCTATGAAGGCTGTCATCTCTGCCTTAAATAGTGTGGTTGTCTCTTTGGGGTGTTTTCTATTTCCTGAAAATATATTATTAGCAAGGTTTTTTTTCAGGAAATATATGAGTTTGTTTCAAACATTGCTCATAATATGTAATTCATTCCATGATGCAGAATGTGTAATTGTAGAAAAGGTTTGATGATCAAATATCTGTGGGGTTGATTTTCTGTATCAATATCCTGGTGTTTTTTTTCCTCTCTTCTTGCTAATTGATTCTTTTTTCTTTTCTTTTCTTTTTTTGTTTTTGTTTGTTTGTTTTTTGTGGGACTGGGGTTTGAGCTCAAGGCTTTGCACTTGCAAAGCAGGCATTCTTTGGCTTGAGCCATGCCTCCAGTCCCTTTTGCTCTGGTTATTTTGGAGATGGGCGATAAACTATTTGCTTGGGCTGGCCTCAAAACCTGGTCCTCCAGATATCAGCCTCCCAAGTATCTAGGATTACAGGTGTGAGCCACCAGCACCTGGCTTGAATTATTTTCATATACATTCAGAGACAGATATTCCCTCTTCGCCCTAGAATGACACCATATTCCTATAAGCAATACAGTACCTGTTCTATATTTTATGATCTAAAGGCCACTTTCTATTTTGATTCCAGAATCAAAAAATTGAAAAGCCCACTCCTGTCACACTGTCTAGTATATTGAGATATATTCATAAACAGACTGAAAAATAACCCAGCTCCTCCTTCTATGGACAAAGATTGCGAATACTTGGAAATAAACACTGTATTCCCTGTAGAGCTTGGTATCGCTGGCAAACAATCCCAGGAAACTGTTGTAAAATACCCTCATCCCCTCTGCTGTCCTGTACCTCTTACACAGTTATTTTCATTATTCCTAGGAATTATAAATCATGGCCTTTTGCTTTGTTTCAATATATTAGAGAGCAAAGTTGTTCTGCATTGCATTGGGAAGAGGTGGAAGTCTGGGCTCCCTGCTTGGCTTCCACTGAAACTTGAAGGGGGTCTTCCTCTTTACTGTTGGGAAGGAACAAGAATTTGGACTCCACTTAAACTGTAGGGAAGAGCTTGTTACTGGCAAACAGGGATGAAGTCCCATGTTTTACACTTCTCCTCTCTTGACACCAACCTATTGGGAGTATTGGGGAACCATGTCACAGCCTCACAGAGTGAAATTCTGGGCTCTCCACTTGGTGTTTGTGGACATGAGTCAGAGTGAAGCCAATGATTTTTTCTGTAGTGTTTGGCTAAAGTACAGTGGCTAGTATCTAAATATTTTCTATTATCCTGGCTGCTCTTTTCCTAGTCTGCTGACTAGAGAGAACAGCCTTTTGTAGGAGCTTTGTTTTTCTCCACCCATTGGTTTCTGAGTGGTCAGTTTCTTCACCTCCAAATCTGAAATATACGAAGCTAAAAGAAACCCAGGGAAATTGCTACCATGTTGTTCCATGGATCCGGGAGTCTCTACTTAGTCTGCTTTCTCTCCACTTTTTCAGTCTTCATATTTTGGCTCTGTACATAATACCCACGATTTTTAGTTGCACTTAACAGATGTGTAGGGAAAATACATCTATGCTATCTCTCCAGAAGCAGAAGTCTGCATGTTATGATCTTTGTAATGAGAAGAGCTCCTGTCCTCGTGATATCAAAGCATACAAATAAACTTACATGTTCAAAGGAAAATTGGGAAAATAGTTAATAAATTATTTTGTCATTTTATGCTAAATGTTTCCAAAAGCCTAATTATTATTGTTAATTTATCACATCATCTAAAACTGTTGCCACAATCAAGCAAAATAACTATTTAATTTTCTAATGAGCCAATTGTTCTTCTTATGTACTTAACAGCAATCTTCAGTGGCAAAAAGATTCTGTAGGTTATTCAGAAGTATATTCCTGGTTCAAGAAGCAAGTGGGGAAGTTCGGCATGGTGAGACCTTGTCTCAAAAACCAAAAAACAAAAGAAGCATATGGAAGAGTTTCATCTCTTTTGGATTTTAGAAAAGCTCTTTAGTACTAAAAATAAAAAACAGCATTCATTTACTAAGCATTTCCTACATTTAAGGTATAAGACATACAAAGACAAAAGCTAAAGAAAACTCAAACATAAAACAAATGTGATTCAGTGTTATAAAAATATAGAGGAAGCATGAGTAATTATCCATAGAAGTCTTAGGTCAGGGATTCACAGAAATGGCATTTGAGCTGGATTAGGAAGAATGCACTGTACTTATAATCTGCCTATTTATGCAGGTTCCTCAGTGCCAGGTACAGAACAAATGGTATTTTGAAAACACTAGGGTGGGGCAGGAGAGTAGACACTTTGATACACAAAAATGTGAGGAGAAAAGTAGATCTTATTAGTACAACTATGAAGCACTGCTGTTTGAAAACTCACTAAATATGGACAGACTAAATTATACTAATAGTAATGGTAACTAACTTTCATTCAGCCTCTCTATGTACATTTTATTTAATTCTCATATCAACTCTTTGCAGGAGATATTAATATTGTCATATTATTACCTGCACTTTAGAGATGAGGTTTAGACAAGATAAGTAACATATCTACGATCATGTAAACTATCTACCATGCAGATAGTAAGTGGTGCCGGCAGGATTTAACCCAAGGCCATCTGACTAAAGAACTCATATGTCAATCTCCATAATACCAGATACCAGGCAAGAAATTATGGAACTTAGGAAAGCATTTAAGATGCTTACTTTGAGGTTTTTATGCATGTGAATTTTTTTTTTTGCAGCTGTAGATGGCATGGACCTGGGCAAAAAAGTCAGCATCCCCAGAGACATCATGTTAGAAGAACTGTCCCATCTCAGTAATCGTGGTGCCAGACTGTTTAAGATGCGTCAAAGAAGATCTGACAAATACACATTCGAAAATTTCCAATATGAAACAAAAGCACAAATAAATGTAGGTATAACCTGACTGTGTGGTATCTAAATAAATGGGCTGCATACTGAAATTTGTATGTATTATTAGATTCTCAAACAAGTTACTCTACATATTTTCTTTCAATTGATTTCTGCTAAACATTTTTTCATGATGATGAACAGTTTGGGTGGATAAACAAAAGAAGTATTATATATGATATGAGCATGTTTTTAGCTCAATAGGGACATTGTAAGCTTGCAGATTTGGCACTGAGGAACCAGTCTGTTCTGTTAGAAGGAGGGAGAAGGAATAGAGACAACTAGTACTAAAAGTTTCCATGGTCTTATCACCAACAGTTAAATGTTTGAGATGAAAACAGTTTCAAAGCACATAGTGCTCCACAAAGTAAGGATAAGCATTTTACTGACTGAATATATCTTGCTCCTGAAAATGAAGGAAACAACAAACTTGGCCTGTTTCCTCTTGAAGCATGTATTCCATACTGACCTGGTACTTGTTAAGTTAATGACAAAAACAGTATAGAACTAATTCTTTGGACAAAGATTTCCTCAACTGAAAGCTAATGACCAACAAAAATTAATTATATTATTTTCTACATATTGTATTAATAGTACATTTACTTTATCTGTCATTTACAGCAACTGAAGTTTGTAATAGGAAGGCAACCAGATTTGGAAAAGATGGCTCTTAAAATAAAAAAAAAATCAAATACCAAGTATAAAGAATCAAAGAGAAATAGTGCAGTGATCCAAAATTCAAGGAGATGGTAGAGATTACAACAAATGTTTTACTCACTAGAATTTCTTCCTATGGTTTATAAATTTAAACTTGTATGCTTACCAGCTGGCATCAATAAGTTATTTTGAATGGATATCTCACTTCTTTTTAACAGACTGATTTTACTAAATTCTTTTCCTGAATTACTACAATAAACTACGGAAAACAATATCTATGGCCACAAACAACAAAATTTTGTAAATTTCTAGTTCCTTTTTTGAAAATGATGGTACTGGGGTTTGAACTCAGGGCCTGTACTTGCTAGCAAAGTGGTCTACCACTTGACCCAAGCCCCTAGCCCTCTCTATTGCCCTTGATATGCTTAATACTGTTGAAAGCACTTTTTAAATGAAAAATTAGGAAGCTGGGGATGTAGCTCAGTGATAGAGAATTTATCTAGCATGCATGAGGACCTTAGTTATATATCTAGCACTGAAAAAAATGATAAATGAAAAAATTTTTTCACAATGAGCATTCTTTAGCATCCATGGATTAAATCTAGTTATAATTATGAATTCAGTTAAACATCACATCATTTAAACTATAGTATTTACATTTGTAAAGGATGATATTTCTCTTGAAGTCATAGATAAACATAACGTTATGTTACCCTAGAATTATGCACAGTATCCTCTTATCAGGAAGTGTCTGTGGCTAATACAGCATGAGCTGGAAATAATCCCTACTCCATCTGACAGAGTCTGATTATGTAATCACACTTTTTCAATAATGACAGCAAAGAGGACACTTTATGAAATAATACAAAATAAGGTGGCTTAAGGAAAGACTTGCAAAGTCATCCACAAGTCTAAACATCTGAGTAAATAATGTCAGCTTTAAGACATTCCACTTATATCTCTAAGAATAATACTCTAATGACAGTTCTGAGGAAGGTATCATCATACCTTGTCAGAGCAATAAACAATAATAAAGGATGCAAGGAAACCACATTGCATTGAGTTACATAATATACTCTGAAGTCTAATGAAATTTACTCTCTTTAGAGATAAGGAAAGTAGTATTCAAGGAAGTATGTTGATTTGACTTAAGCAACAACAAAATAAAAGAGACTGAAACACAGCTTTTATGATTCTACAGTCCTTGGAACAAACACCTCTCATGAGGTAATTAAAGGAAACTGTGGCCTGGGAACCAGGAGACCAGGTTCCGTCCTGGCTCTCCCATCAACTTGTGATCTGAAGTTAATTTAAGTTTCCTTTCTTCTCTCATTTATAAAATATGGGTATGGACTCAAATGCTCTCTGAAGTGCCTTCTGACTTGAAAAATCTATGCATTTACTGATCTTAATTCTAAAAATTGCCTTACAAAAAATATTGAAGAAGCTAACAAGCCACATTATATAATGATATACTTTGTGTAGGTACTAGATTACAACTTGGAACATTGTTAATATGACAGGTAGTTAAAATATAATATTGTATCTAGGTCTGTTTCCATCAATTTATTTATACTTTTTGGAAATATTTGTTACCTATTATGGTCTAGATACTATGTTGGGATTTCAAGGATGAATAAATATAGCCTTTGTCTAATGACAAAGAGACCAAATAACATTGAAAGATAGAGAGCAAATGCTTATTTACAACCTCATTCTTGAATCATCTTTATATGGTTTTGACCAAATTAATCTAATTTATTGATTAAATTTTCTGGAACATGCTTTCACTTTTACTGTTTCCCTTGAGTTACAGATATTGTCAAAATAATAATTCAACTTATTGTTATATATTTCTTATTTTATCATAATGTTTAGGACCTTATACAGATGTAAACATAAATGAAATCTTCCAGTAGTCAATGCCATTTTTCAACTATTCGATGTCATTTTTAAAAAGAAAAAAATTAATGCAGCTTTGAGATTACTTTACTACTGAAATGGCATTGACAAATTTAAACTACATATACTTTCTATGACCCAAAGAATAATAACAAGAAATGTATGCTCTTTAAAAGAAATGAACCAACATTGCTGTTACATGAGCCATTTTTAAAACTCAGTTGATGAATTTATTTACTTAGACAAAAAGCAAAAAAAGAAAGGGATGAAGAAAATAAGCATTCAAGGGAAAATAAAATGGAAGAGGAATTCATGATAATTAAAATTTTCTTTTATAAATCACTACAAAAAAGATATTGAACTTTTTGAAACCTCTAGAAATCTTAAATAATGCTGGGTAAAAAGAAAGTAATAAAGTAAATAAAAAAGTACATAAAAAGTAATTCTGAAATAAGACCAAACTAAATATACTGGGAGTCTGAACATATGTTTATTTTATTTAAAAAACAACTTCTACATATTTGGCACAAAGTATACAACAAACCAAAACTTTCATTTCTATTGATGTTTCAAAAGAAATCATATAATATATATTATATATATGTTTGTAACTTACATGTTTATAACCTATAAATGCTGTTCTAGCTTTATTTTCTTTAGGGTGAATTTAAACTAAAATAAAAAGAAACACATTTTTATTTGCCTTTCTAATTTTTCTGAAGGGGATCACACATAATGATGAAATACTATAATTTAAGGCTTATGTCATAACTAAAATAAGTCACTACCTAACCATTATAAGACTTTGTATACTTAACAATGATAATAGAGGTAGTGGGCATTCCTGATAATTAATGACTAACCAAAAGAGATGATTTTCCTGTTCATCATTAATTCCAGAAAAATGTTACAGATGGCTAGTATTAACACTCTTAAAAATTAATGTAGGTAGAATGACTTGTAAGTTTGTAAGAATGATTTGTTAAGAATGATTTGTAGGTGAAATTTACTTCAGGGACCCATTGTAGGAACTTAGAAAAAGAAATTCTTTTTCCATTACATGTTTAAACTTCCTACATTTATCTCAACTGCCTTTGCTTTTTTTGGTGGTAAGAGAGTTTAAACTCAGAGCCTCGCTCTTGCTTGGCAGGTGCTCTATTCCTTGAGCCACACTTTAGTCCTTTTATTCTTTGCTTTGCTTCGCTTCTTTTTGAGATAGTTTCAGTTTTATGCCCAGGTTGACATGGACAGGACCACAATCCTCCTACTAACACTTCCCACCTAGCTGGGATGACAGGGACATACCACATACTCAACTTTTTATTGGTTGAAATGCTGTTTCTAGAATTTTTTGTTTGGGCTGGACTCAAACTGCAATCCTCCTGATCGCCTCCTCTGAAGTAGCTAGGATTTTTACAGGCTTGAACCAGCAGGCCTGGCTCAATTGCCTTTTTATTTACAATTAAATTCAGCAGATACTTTCCATTATTTTTAGAGGAAGTATGGATTCAGAATTAAATATATATATATTTATATATATATATATTCTATATAGATGTACATGTATGTAGTATAGATATATACTATATATACTAATCTAGTCAATTAACTCAAACACTCAAAATAATACCTAAATTCAAAATATAAAACAAATTATTTATATGCATATGTAAAAATGCTATATCTGTAGAAATCAATTATTAAAAGTAGTCTTTAAGTGTAGCATTATCTTAGAACTAACAAGAAAAATGATGGCACTTAACTAGATTTAAGCTAGATTATAAATCTGGGTGGGGTAGGACCCAAAATGACAAATGCAGCAATAAAAATCCAGCTCATAAGAGCAAAGAAGAGAGACCATGAGAAGGTAGTCTAGATCTTATTGGAGTGTTTGAAGATCACATGAAATATGGAGACACTTACAGTGCGTTAAGTTAGAAAGCAGAAGGAAATTTTAAGATAGGTCACAGAGGAAATGTAGAATTTAGTTTCATAAAGAACAGAGGGAGGGCATTATAAGCACATGAAACAGAACAGGTTAAACCACGGAGCAGGAATGAGCAGGGAAGGTGCTAGTCGGCATGAGGTAATGGGTATTAGGTAAGTACATCATCTTGATTTCTTAGCATGAGTTGAATTTATTCAATATGCAGTAAGAAAGAATTTCTAAAGACTGGAGTCATACACAAATATTCAGACTGAATAAAAGAGAAGTGCTCGGCAGAAAATGAACAGAAGGTAGGTGACCGTATGATAAAAGCATAAGCAATGCGAAAAGTGAAAAGGAAAGATGAGTCTATGGCCAAACCACCCTGTATGTGCCAGATCTCATCTGATCTCAGAAGCTAAACAGGGTAGGGCCTGGTTAGTACTTGGATGGGAGGAAATATGATAGGTTGAGTGTGGTGGTGCATGCCTATAATTCCAGCTACATGAGATATGGAGATAGGGGGATCACAGCTTGATGTCAATCCCAGGCAAAAAAGTACAAAACCTTATCTGAAAAATAACTAAAGTAAAAAAGGCTGGAGGATATACATAGTTCAAATGGTAGAGTACCTGGCTATCAAGTACAAGGCCCTGAATTTGAACCCCAGAACCAAAATAAAAATAATAACAATTTTTAAAACCCAGCAAGATTATGTTTTAAACAAGTTATAGTAAAAAAGAAATCTGCTAGATTTGGTGATTATTCACTAAAAATCCAGCAAATATTCAGAGTGTTTATGCTATGATAGGCTTTGTTTAAAAAAAAAAAAAGAATACATACAATAGAATTCTCTTTAACAAATAGCTAACAAAACTAGTGGGTGAAACAACTCCCAAAAACTGTTTTAAAAGGTAAACTATGGCAAATGTCACGAGAGTGACTAAGTGGACATCTGGGAAGGAGTTGTTTTTAAATCAAGACAGATTTGCCTATAGTAATGAGTGAAAGAGGTAACGTGAGAGTCAAAGGTAGGAGGCATACATGATAATGAGGGAGTCTATATGGTGTACTTTGCAACTTAGGTCACATCTTTAAAAAACTGATAAAAGATGAGGATAGATAGGCAAGCCTGACGATGAAGCTAAAACATTTAGGCTTTCTGTTCACAAAGTGTGAACATGATGGTATGTTTGTAATTAGAATGCAATGTTTAAATTTTTAAGTATTTTTGCTATACATTCCAACCTCAGGCAGAAACTTCTATGCTAAAAGTCCTTCCCAGAATGTCTCTTTAAGTTCTACTACAGAGTAAGTCCTTTTGTTTAAAAGCTATTTTTAAAAAATACATACATGTCAATATATATGTCTCCTGAGTATCTAGGATTACAGGTATGAGCCATCAGCATCTGGCTAAATTCACACTTTTTCATACGTATTTAAGACAATACTTTATTATTAGGGTAAGGTCTAGCCATACTTCTGAGGACTTAATCTATTTTACAATGTCTATTTTTCTCTCTTAAAAAGTAAATTAAGTGTTTTAAGGTGCTATATTAGTGCTATAGAACAAATCTTAAATTATAATAGTAAAATTCACTTAAAATTTAAAAGACAAATGTCTTTCTTCAGAATTTTATTTTCTAAGAATCATAGTCTTCCCTCTGTAAGTTAATGCAACTTAAAGTGCACATGGTTTTTCTGTTCATTTGTTTTGGGGGGATTAGTATGTATGACTGCTATTCAAATTTCATATGAAATTTTAAAACTTCCTACATATTAAAAATTCTAAAACCCAACTATAAAATTCAATGCTAATGTAAGACTCCTTCAGCCAAATATTTAGCCAATATGCTCTACATTATCAGATTAGTAAAGATTTAAATATTTTTCTTGTAGGGATGTTGTGAGTGGAGAATTAAATCATTAAATCATCAAGCACTACTTGCAGTGCCAGGCATACAGTAAGGCTCAATTAATTTTGGTTTTATTATTTAGTGATTTGTTGTGAAACAGATCTAAAATTGATAGCAGTAAAATTTTTCATTGAAGTGCTCAAACTTATTACCATGCAAATGACAGAGGACTTATGAAGCAATATAGTGGCATTTTGTCTAAATTCTAGATATACAAATGGTGGGAGTCTTATACAAATGGCTCCTACTAGTTTGCCTTGGAGTTTTCAGCAGAGTTTTCTTTTGATTGAATACAGCACAATATTGCTATGCAGAATGGGAAACTGGATGGAAGTCACCTGGAAGGGGATTCACAGCAAGCCCCCTTGACTCCTCCTAACACCCCGGATCCACGAAGCCCTCCAAATCCAGAGAACATTGCACCAGGTAACTTATCACCTTACAAACATGGCCATAAAATTGCTATGCATTTAGATCTTTGACTCAGCTGAAGTTTTATTAAATGGTATTTAAACATAGTATTTCTCATTAAATACCTGTTTTGTGGATAACTTAAAGATAAATTTAAAAATTCAGACCCAATGAATCATATAAGATATTTATAATGGCCATATATTCTTTCAGATGTTCCATTGTATTTGTAATATCCAGTTAAATTGAAAATTAAGACATTTGTAGTCATATTGTATTATATTTGTGTAGGGCTCTATAATTTATGAAATTCTATGGTATATATTATCTTTAGTTCCTTAATAACTCTATGAGATATTTATTATGACCCTCATTTTATATATTAAGACTGAGGTCATGAATATCTATGAGGTCATATTGATTGATCAAGAATTAAATTAAATTTATTATCAAGTCTGATACCAAATTTACAAATAAGTCATGTGAAATACCCTTGTGGAGTTTGCTTTCATTAGTCTCTGTTCCCTTAAAGGACTTTACATGCAGTCCCTTAAAAACATATATTTGGCTGGGAATGGTGGTGCATGTCTTTAATCCTCAACTTGGGAAGCTGAGGCATGAGGATTTTGAGTTTGAGCCAGCTTGGTTTACATAGAAAGTTTGAGACCAGCCTGGCTGTGCAGTGAGACCCCGTCTCAAACAAACAAAAAAAGAAATGAGCATATATTGGTTCATTATCTCAAGAGAGAAGCAAATCCTTATTCTATTACTACATATTATTTAGAAACATTGGTAGATGTTTCTTCAAGAAAAATTATATTACCTATTTAAATAGTAACTTTTCAAAATAGCTTATAGCAAGCTTGTTGTCCTTGAAAATCAAGTATTTCCTCAAAAGTAATATACTTCAAACTTATAAAATTTTAAATAATTTTATATTGAAATTAAAAATATCATGATCTTGTAAAATAAACAGTAAATTTAGCAAAAGCACTTCTAGAATTGTCCTCAAATAGTACTGTAGTATTTTTTTAAAAGTATGTAAGTGAACCAACGATATGGCATTGTCTTATTCAAAAATAAGGTGAATGTCAGCAATTGCTGAGACTGGAATGATTAGAGCATTCTGATTGTACACAAGGAAAACTATTGATAGATATAGTAAAGTAACACAGAACATGACCAATTAGGCATGCTTAAAATGCATAAGATTCTGAAATGAATTATTACAATAAAGCTCTCTAGTTGTTTCCAAATTAAAGTTATGGTAGAAAAGCAAGCTTTAGAATCAGACTGATCTGATTACTACCTTATGGTGCTTTCTACCTCCTTTCCTTTTACTACCATGTTGTAAAAGAAAATAAATCTCTTTGAGTCTCACTCTCCTCAGTGTTTAAAATAAGGAAAAAGAATCTTGATGCACAAGGTCATTGTGAGAGATAAAGATGACAGGATAAATACTAAGTTAAAATTAATTCTTTACCTATCCACCTTCATGTCCTTCTTGTACAACGGAACACATAAATACTCTGTTCTTTTAGCTCTAACCCCTGTACTGCAAGCCCTTGCTTTTAATTTTTGGAGTGTATCTTTTTGTTTCTGTTTGTTCATTTGCTTATTTTTTTGTTTTTTAAATAGGAAAAAGAGCATGCATATTGAAAAATCAATGCTGCTACAATCTGTACTCACATTACTTAGAACTTTTATTATGTGACTGTCACTATAACTGTAGAATTGCAAAATGAATAGAATAATTGATCTCTGTCCTCGAGGGATTCATTTGCAGACACAGAGAAACAGGACAAATGTCCAAAGTACATTCATAGTCTTACTTTCTCTCTATTTACATAATTTGCTATCATGTTTATTTTATTTACTGTCAGGAATACATGTGTGTGTTTATATGTATTTGTGTCTGTATAAAGACACAAAATTTAAAGTGTAAGTTCATACAGCTTTTTAAAGCTAATGATCCAATTACTAAATATTGGAAAATGTCTAGGTAATACAGAATAAGAAAAGGGAACGTTTAGGGGTTAGTAGGTAGTTTCTTTGAAGCAACAGAAATAGATTCTTCCTTCTTAGTTGATAGGTTTAAAAGTATACCAAGTTCAGGACACAAATTTTGGCTTAGTCTCACTTAGAAAAATAATTTGGGGCTACATTGGGGATTGAACTCAGGGCCTCCTGTTTGCTAGAAAGTGCCCTCCTACTTGAATTACACTCCCAGTCCTTTTGCTATTTTTAGATAGGGTCTCATGATTTTGCCCAGGTTGACTTCAGGCCATGATCCTACTACCTGTGCTGCCCGAGTAGCTGGGACTACAGGTTGCTATCACACCTGGCTTGTTTTTTGAGGTGGAGTCTAGCTAACTTTGCCTGTCTGGCTTCAAGCCATGATTCTCTATCTCTGCCTCCCAAGTAGTTGGAATTAACAGGCTTGTAACACCATGACCAGCAACAAATTAATTTTTTTATTGATTAACCAACTATGTATCCAACCCAAATTTTCTTGAACATGAATCAGTAAGAGTATTATAAATGCCATAACACTGTATGGATAAAATTTCTTTAACTTGAAGCCAATTATATTAAAAATACATTTAAAAAACCAAACAAGAAATATTGATATATAGCAATGGTGAATTACTATATTTCTGAGGTTATGTTTCCTTTAATTCAGCATATCAAAAATGAAAAATTAGGGCTATCTATGAAAGAAGTTAGAATGTTCAAAACCCTGAATGTTCAAAAATAAGAAAACATTACATAAATTATGGTTCATTAACTGAAACTCCTGAAGCAATTAGGAACATGATGTAGAAACATTAAAAAGTACTTTTTAAAAAGTTGAGAAAAATAAAATACATAATTACATATATGCTAGGTTATATGGGATCATTATGTGTACATTATGTGTACGCTAGAATTAATTACGGGATCATTATGTGTACAACTGAAGAAAAACTGAAAAAAAATTGTGTTAGAATAGTAGGACTTCAAGGAATTTTAAAAAATATTAGAATATTTAAAATCTTTCAGTTTCTATAAACCTAACTTCCAATCAATTCTAGACAAAGGATGGGAAATAAAATGTACTAGCTATGGTCAAAGAGTTGTATATAGTATACAAAGGGATGGCACGAAAGGAAACTCTGCTTCCCTGGGAGAGATAGGAATGGCTACATGGACAAGGTAACTTCAGCTAAGACTTACAATGGAATTTGCACAAGACAGAAATTAGAGAGGACATCCAGGCACCAGGAACAAATGGACCAAATAGGGAGACCTAAGTGTACATAACAAATGACAAGTAGATGAACAGTCCTGGAGCACAAATGTTAGGAGAGAATGGCAGGAGATGAGCCTGGACAGCTGGAAGGAGCCATGTTTGTCATGCTGATTTTGTGTGGGAAGCCATTCCATTACTCTGACCAGGGGAGTGAGCGACAAGATCTGAGTAACATAAGCAAGTTTGCCAGTTGGAAGGTCACTCGGGCACCAATGTGGAGGGAGTGGGAGCTAGAGGATTAGTGTGGAGGCTTCTGTGAAAGCCCAGGAAAGAGAGCTGTAATGGAAATGGAGAGCAACAAAGGAATTTCTCATTGTTCTGTTTGCTGACCACCTGCCTAAGATTTACATGAGAATGTGTTAAAAATATGGATTTGCAAGTCATACCTAAGATTTACTGAAGCCAAATCTCTGGAGAGAAATCACTCTGTACATTTTAACTAACCTCCCAAGATTATTAAGAAACACAAATCATTTGAGAGCTACTATTTTAGAAAGCCTTAAGAAGTATAGTCAGTACTACTTAGTGATTTATGGGGATGAGGGAGTTCAGGATAATGCCTCAAGTCTGAGATATCTGAGGACAGCAGTAACATTCACTGAGATGACCAATACAGAAAAAGAAGCAGAAGGTATTGGAAAATGGCTGCACCCAGGTCTAAACAGTTTATAAATGGTGCCAGTGGAACACTCATTTGGACAAGTATAATAAATGGTTCAACAGAAGAACTTAGAGATTAAAAAATAAAAGTAAGAATTTCAATATGTGGGCCACAATTAAAGCCATGACTATACATGGAATTTTCTAAGTAGAGTGCATAGTGTAAGAGAAGAGCTTTGAGTAATTCCTGTTTTTGAGTTGCAAGCAGAGAAAGGAAGCCTACTAAAAGAGATTAGATATTGGAGGCAATCTGAAGAAAATAGAGTAATCACAAATAAATTCCTAGAGATGGAAAGATGGAATTATCAAGGAAATTTGTTTTTGTTTTTTTTGGAAGAGATAAATGTTTTAATTAATATAAAGACACCATAGACATAGCTTTACAGAAGAAATTTGAAAACATTTTAGAAATAGGAAAGAGCATTAGGGAAACCCAAAGTAAAAGGACTCAAATGAAGAAGGGTTTTGACGTGGTGGAAGAGAATTTTAAGGAAATAACTGGTGATATGGTAGTTTAGATGCAGAGTTGAAAGCTGTGCTTTAGAAAACTTGAGGAGAGTCACTTGATGTGATTTGAAAACAAAACACCCATGCCAGGAATTATGTGATTTTTAAATGATACTCACAGAAAATTTCTAGCTTTTTTTGGGAAAAATAAGTCTGGGTGGTGAGACCAGCATCAGAAAAGCTAGGAAAGAAATCTTGAGGAGGAATAAGAGCAGAACTTGAATAAGGCAGTGGACACAAGTTCCTTGACTTGTTAGAAGTTTAAACATTCCACAAGCCACACAACAACTTAAAATAAGTAAGATCTTTAAGGAAAAGGCATTGGGAAGAGGGAGATTTTGTCTTTTTTGCTATTTTCCTACAAAAGGTATGCAGTATCCATTTTAAAATTAATTACTTATGAAATTTAAAGTCAAATGTAAATTAATACAAGGGGCACAATTTTTTAAAAAGTAAAATGAACAGTTTTACCTGAACACACACACACACACACACACACACACACACACACACACACACACACACTAAGGACAGTCAATGAAAACTGTACGATTTGGAAAAGTGGCTTCTTTTTTAAATTCCATAAGCCTAAGAGTTTTAAATGTCTAACACTTTCAGACCACTGTTTTCTGAGATTAAAAAGGATGAATTCTTCATAAATTTATCCCAGCATGAAAAATTAAACATGTTGAACGAAAGGCAGCATTGAGTAACTGTAGGGCACTGTGTTTACCTTCTCTTGCTCTATTTTTCCAAAGGATATTCTGGACCATTGAAGGAAATTCCTCCTGAAAGATTCAACACCACAGCTGTCCCTAAGTACTATCAGTCGCCCTGGGAACAGGCCATTAGCAATGATCCAGAGCTCTTAGAGGCTTTATACCCCAAACTTTTCAAGCCAGAAGGAAAGGCAGAACTGCCTGATTACAGGAGCTTTAACAGGTAATTAATTCGGTTGTCTGACATGACACTGTTGGTATGTAATGCCATGTTTCCATCACTGTATAGAGAACTGAATACTCTTGTAGAAAAATAGTTTTTCTTTTAAGAAAAGAATATTAGTAGAAATATGGGGTATTTCCAAGACTAGGCACTCATTTTTGCAATCTTATTCTCTTAACCTTGGTCCTTTTTATTATAAAAATAAGCTAAATGATTCAGAAATTACCACTATTATAACATCAAGATTACCCCCATACTTTAAAAAAATTTAAATAATAATTTCTAATGCAAAGGTTGACATTAATACATGTGTTTCTACAAGTGATACTGCTCTTTAGGAATTTCAGAAATAATTCACATATGGAGTTATGAGAATTACTGTGTAACTTCAGGTTCCAATTTATTTTTTCCAGACTTTAGTCTAGATAAAAGGTAATTTACAGATGCAATGGCCCAAGTTTCCAGCACATATACAAATGAAAACTTATGTTACCAAGAATATCTACCAAATAGTATCAGCAGAATAGTTTATATAATGGGAATCTATGTTTCCCTGGTATTCATTTTTTATAATTTCCTTGGGAGTTGTGGACATTTTTAATGGTTCATAGTCCATTCTTGGATCACCTGATTTTCATTTTATAGTAACATATTTCCAATATACTGATTCATACCCACAAAAAGACCTACTTAAAGTACATGTGCCTTGTCTATTAAATGCATTGTTTTAGGAGTCTACTGAACAACAACTCAATGGTGTAATCATATTTTTGGTTTAAATGCTTGGTAAATAAATGAGACTATAAAAAGTCACACAGGTAGGACTTCCATTTCCAGTAATGGAAGAAAACTAGAAAAGTTTGTTTAGACAAATAATGTTTCTACAAATGATTTAAAAGCTACCAAGACAGTGGGTTCTTAAAGGTCAAGGTCCAGGAGAAAAGGGAAATCTGGAGATGTAAGCCCAACATTTGATACTTTTCCCCTTGAGGCACTTGCTGACTCACTGGTAAAATCTGAGAGATTGAGAAGCTGAACAAATATTTCAGCAGTTTCAAGTCTGGGAAGACCAAAAATAGGAATGTAGGATCTCCCAAGAGGGAGAAGCCCTGGTAAAATATTCTAAACTTCCAGCTGGAAATCCTAAAGGATATCCCACTGGAGATGGGGTATCTCAAAAGGTGAGCAAATAACAGATCAGCCTTCATCAAGATAAATGCACTCCCAGTCCCAGACAGTACAGTTTTTCAAATTGGATAAAGGCCACCTCCTGTAAATCACAATGCTTGTGATTTCAAGTGTAAATTCTCTCTGGAAGGAAGATGGAACTACTGGAGCCACCATTTGTGTGTATTATATGTCCAGTTCTAAAATAAAAATATGGAAATAGCTACATTTTTATTATGCTAAAATATATAGCAAAATTTACCAATTCAAGCATTTTTGAGTACAGTTGAGTGGAGTTAAGTACATTCATAATGTGCAGTCATCACTACCATGTCCACAATTCTATTTTGTAAAACTGAAACTTTGTACCCAGTAAATAATAACTTTCTATTTCCCTCTTTTCTCAACCCTAGATGACAACCATCAATCTACTTTCTTCCTTTGTGTTTCTTACTACTCTAAGTATTTCATACAAGTGAAATCATAGCATTTACCTTTTTGACTGGCTTAACATAATGTCCTCTAGTTTAAAAAATATTTTATAAGTTTTTATTAACATAAAGGTCAAATTATTGACTACTGCTAGGGGCAAAAGGGGGCTGTGATTGGGCAGGACCATGTATAGGGTTTTGGAATAGCTCCTAATATGTGCAGTCATTCCAAAGTTCTTTTCTTTATATATGTTGTGGACATTTTAATGAGGGCTTTTTGTACTTATGTTATACTGAATGGTAGAAATGCCTTTTAATTCAATAAATAGAATAATGGTAGCTTAAACACAACTGAAGAGAGGATTGGTAAAGTGTTAAAGGAAAATGTTCTGGTTGAAACATAAAAGGAAAAAAGGATTCAAAAATGCAAGAAAACAGAATACACACTTGAAGCAATAATAAAATGCCAGTATATGTATGTGATCATGATCTCAGGAAAGAATAAGATACAAGCCATATTGGAAGAATTAATGGCCAATAATTTTTCAAAACTGACAAAAGATATCAAGCCTCAGGTTCAATTTTTACACAACCCAAGAAGGGGAAATTAAAGACAGTAAGAACATTGCAAATTTAGATACATTATCTTTCAAAGGTATAAAAATAAAAATTGAAACAGTTGATTTCCTAACTGAAGTGATGGAAGATAATGGAAAAATGTCTTTAAAATAGTAAACTATCCAAGGTATGATTCTATATCCAGTGAAAGTATTGTCTAAAGGTAAAAGTTAAAATAAAAACATACTTACATATTTTCAGACAAAGATGTTATTTACTAACAATAAGTCAAGAATAATAAATAAAAGAACAGAAAAATAAAACCGTCATTATTTGCAAATAATGAAACTACCGAAAAGAAACTTCAAGTTAAATCAT